TGAAACAGCGCTACCGGAGGAAAAGAGTGTGTAGTGGTTATTTATCGTTCTCAATGAACCGCATGTCTAATGTCCGCTAGGTTGCCTGACTTTCAAAATCTGATCATCAAAGAATAAGAACGAACCGTTGGATTGGGAACGAGATGGGTGGGCCAGAGTGTTTTCTATGCGGTGATTGGAAATGAGAAATACCAACGCCCAAATGCCCTAGCCAGTTATAACTTACAAGTAACTTCACTTAACACTCTTTTGCGTAGTCTCGCGAAGGCGCAGGAAAGCACTATTGTATTTTTCTTTTCTTTACTTTTTACAAAAAAATAAATACACAATATGTTTCAGGTCATTTCAAGAGTTGAATTCGTACTTCGTTTCAATACTGAGGAAAAAAAATCATTTAATCAAGCGTTAATAGATTATGGGGTTAGATACTTTTTTTATCATTGGGTTTTATACGAAAATTCAATTTGGTCAATGAAAAAAATATTTAGCCAAATTGGTCATTATGTTTCTCAAATTTTACAATTTATACATTCCGTTATATTTCGTTAGCTGCAGTATTTTTTTAGGAAGCACCTTCATTCTTATTCCTCTAATTGAATTAGTGTATATTGTGCTATTAGGGTTTAACAAATTGGAGAAAATTAGGTTGAAATCGAAATTGTGAGGTATAAGGAAATTCAAAGAACCAAACCAAATTAAAATGGAATGAACAACTTACCAATATATAATGGTGCTCTATCACCTTGATTACGTCTCCTTGCCATCTAGAATCACAATATAGTTCTCACTCAATCGTTTTAGGCTTCAATATAGCATTCAATATGCAACCTTATACCTTATATAATTTCGATTTCATCCAAAGATTTTTCCTAAATTGTTAAACCCTAATAGCATATATGCCCTAACTAGTGGAGTAAGAGAAAAAAGACTGAACGTGCTTCCTAAAAAATAAACTTTGAGCTTATTATAACAAGCTCATACACACTATGTATTAGATAAAACAAGTTTGCGCTCATAAATAGATTTTTACCATTGAAAAATTAACATGTGGCATCAAAAATGGTATGTTTTTTTGTACAATAATGTTCCTCCACTATTCGCATCCACAGTTTCTCTTCATTGGTATTTTAATCAAAATTGCAAAATCCAACAAAGCTGATATATTTAAGGAGAAGCACATGAAATGTGTCTCTCCATAAAATCACATTTAGGGCTCATTTAGGAGTTTGTGCTCATAAACATATCATTAATCACTTTTTGGGAGAAGCACATGGAAGGTATTTCTCCATAAAATAACTTAAAGTGATTATTAACCTCTTCAAGATCACTCCCAAACGAGCCGTACAAGTCACGACTAGTAGTGGCACGAAATGTTGCATCAACTCAACTTTTATTTTTTTAAAATACACACAATAGTCTAAACTACAAAAGGACTAAGGTTTCTCACACACACACACACACACACTACCAAAGTGTCATGGAAGTTCGAACTTACGACTACTGGTCTGTAAGTCAAAACCCTTTTTCCCATTAGTCTAGACCTCATTGACTTAACTGAGCTTTTTTAAGCACTAAGGGTTGTGTCCTATGATATGATAATTGCATATATTTATTTATAAATAAATGAGGTTGATGGCTCCAAATATTAACAAATAAAATAGGTTACCATATCATTTGGGATTTAAAAGATTGGGACATGAGTTGGTGAGTCATAAGACCCCCAAAAAAAAAAAAAGTTAATATAGGATAACCATGTAACAAGATTAACAAGTCACATGTTTTGAAAAAAGAAAAACAAGTCACATTAACCCTTCACTTCTATATATGCGATGACATGATGAATATAGCCGGTATATAATAAGTAGAAAAGGTAAGAATAAAAAAGTTGAGATGAGGGGCAACTTGAGGGCGGGTCACCCCGGGCCTTACCATAAATAATTTAATTAGGTACATGAAAACCTCAAACAATAAGGGGGAATACAAAACGTGTTGTAAAAAAGAATGTGACCTCGAGCTGAGGTCCTTGACAATTGCAATGCTACATGTCCTCCGCGTTTGACATCATAAATAGTAGAACAAATTAGAAGAAGCAAGCAAACAGTAAGATACTGACGTTGTTCAATCTCGATGGATCCACTAAGCAAGCTAGCTAGATACTCACAGAACAGAACAGAGGAGGCCTTGTTCTTCCCAGTGTGGTGGCTTAAATTTAGAGGGGTCGTGTGCGTCGGCCAGCTGCTCTACCGCAAAGGCGTGCATTCTTGGGTATGGGGTATTCATCCCTAATGGAAGTTGAGGGAGTATAAACACGCAGGTATAATTGTTGTCCAAGGTATTGCCGTGCCCAAAACTCAGTCCTCAAGTTCCACATTCCTACGTTATCAAGTGCTACATATATTGCCGTCCATGACTTGGGATACACCTGCACTCACCATTCACCAATCCAATCCATCAATATTCTATCTATAATATATATCAAACATACAGAAGAAGAAGAAGAAGTAATCACCTGAATGGTGCAACGTGAAACTGCATCTCTGAGATTGTACTCTTTCCTGCTATTGGGCGTCCACTGCCCTCCATCCAAACTGCAACCAATATTCATTCAATGCATTTATTAATGATCAAGTCAAGAAACCAAAACTGAAGAATTGTGTGTGTATGGAGTGCTTACCCAACAACAAAGAAAGAGTAACCATCAAGATGCCAGCTCTGAATGATGTCTTCGTTGTTTTGGAACACAAATTCGACGAAGGTTCTGTAATCAGCACCCAAGACGGAGGTGTCAAGGTACAATCCCCCGCCAGTAGGCCTGTCAGAGATGCTTCCCACGCGGAAAACTCCTCCAATTTTGAAGTAGTCCGCCAGCTTGAGGGGTGTGTCTGCCGGGACAAACGACACACTATTCACTCCATATCTTTGCTTGCCATTCACTTGACCGGCAGAATTTTCCAGCACGTAAGTCTTGGTTGTGTTAATCAGTCCATAGTGGTAGGAACCCTGTGGGTTTGGCCTGGGTCCACTTGCTGTAAGATTGGTCCTGATAGAGCGGGCCTGGTTCAAAGACCAGTCAACTTGGATGGTAGGTCCACCGGGGGGTGGGCCAGAGACTCGGCCAGCAGAGTTGGTGTAATGAAGAGTGCCGGTGGTGGTGAGGATCGGAGTGGTGAAACGAGAGGAAGCCACAATGTAGTAGTCTTGCCCGGGCTGATCAGCGGTTACTAGAACGGAGTAAGATTGGCCCACGTGTACATCAAGCGATGAGTAGGTGGTTTGCAGGGTGTGTGTTCCCTCCACTTCTACCAGCTTCAAATTGTGGTTTTGAATTCGGAAGTTGAGGGAGTGTTGCAACCCAACGTTGGATATTCTCAGCCTGTAAGTTTTGCCTGCAATGCAATGCATATATAATCAATGCACTTATTAAGGAAATCTTAGCTAGGCTTAATGATATTAAAATTTGGAAGCAATGGAAGCACACCTTGTTCGAAATTAAGAGAAAATCCACCGGGCCCGCGACCGTTGATAAGGATTCCATCAGGGAAAGGCAGCTTCTTACCGGCGTCCAGATGAGCCCTCAAGCTCTGTACGAGACAACACCAACATTAACATTCATTCATTTGATCCAAATGCCTAATTGTTGGGCTCTACAGTCTACACAACCAAACACCTCGCAGGCCCAAACTGTGTGTTTTATCTTTTCTCCACCTATGTTTTGTTTTGGTAGTTTCCGACATCTGACATTTGGTTACTGAGATTTACTGTTTGGAATTATTAGCTTCAATTTTAAGTCACCAACTTCCACTTGGTATAGTGCTGCTGTTTCTTCCCCAATCTTCAAAAGGGTTCCAAATGCAAATAGTGACCCACAGGACAATAAAACATGGCTACACTACATGTAACATTAAGACAAACGGTGCGACCATGGGCCATTGGGCGTGGGTGGGCAGATGAAGGAAGGTGACTCGGACTATACTGCGTCCGTGGTCCAACATAACATGTGCCCACATAGTTATCCCCAGCCCGCATACCAACAAGGTATACTCTAAAAATATAAAAAATAATCATACCAACAGCTGCCCAAAAAAATGTCGTATCTTCCAGACCCGTAAACCACAAAATCACTGAAACAAAAACGTATAATTCGAGATGCTTTCTCATTATTAAACGCAAGAAAATAAAAGAAAAAGGCTGTATTACCGACACAAGATCACAGATGTCAAACAGGTCCAGCTGTCCAGAGATAGAAAGGTAAACATGCCACCGACGGACGCAATCGTTTTATTTTTATTTTCTTAAAAAAATGTGCGAAACGAGACTATACGACCAGAAACACCGGAACAACTTGTATGAAATGGAATAGTCGGTTTGAGAAAAAGTTATCAAGCGTAATATATCTTGATTGACTGTAAATAGCAAAATAGTATTATCTCTATTTTATATAAGTATTTTTCAAGAACACATAGTTAAATGTTTGACTTGATAATTAAAAAAAGAAAATGTTAAAAGAAGAGAAAAGATAAGAAAGGTTTACCGTGTGATTAGACTTGTACCAATCCCCAATAAGAACAGTATAATCACCAGCTGGATCAGGGAAAGGGACGGGAATTCTGGGCCTGCTGAGAATTCGGATGCCCCCAAAACCACCAGCAGCCTTGTGGAACGCAAGAGATGGGAAATAGTAGAAACTCCCAATTTGATCCTTGACTTGTAGAATGTAGGTAAAGTTCCTCCCTGGTGGTATTGGACATGTCGTTCCGTAAACGCCGTCCTCAAATGAATTCCTTCTCTGTTGAATTCCATTCCTATATTTACACACAGTACAGTACAATAATAACCATATTAAACTCCAAATTACATAAACTAATTTTTTTGTTTAATTTACCAAGATCCTCTCCTTTTAATTCAATCTAATTACTTGCTTCTTCTGGTATATGGATAGACAATTCTGCTTATTTTATAGCCACAAAAAAAAGGATTAAGTCCCAAGGGGCGCAAAGGGATAATTAATCACTCAGTTGTTCTTTTGTGGTTAAAACTTAAATTTACATAATTATTTACCTTTTGGTACAAACATACAATGCAGTCAAGAGACTTAATTATTATTATTTTCCAACCAGTCAAGAGACTTTTAATATTTTCTGATTACCATACTCTGCTGTTCTTTTTATTTAGAACAAAAAAATCGCAAAAAGAAAATAGAAAAAGAAAAAGATCATTGGCAATAGCATGTGCTCCAAAGTCCAAATTTACATAATTGAGCAATTGATTTTGTCGGGTCCTTTTTTTATTTTTTCTTTCGTCTAGCTGACCCAACTAATGGTAGGGTTTCCAGTCCCCAGAAAAGAAAAAAAAACTTAATGGAAGGAAGGGGACATGGGCCGCATGATTAGTTATGTAGATGAGGTAGGAAGGGTGATTAAATGCTTGGGCTCCGCAATTGCTGTCGCGTAATTTAATCATGGAATAGGATTAGACAAGACTCCCTTCCTAATTTCTACATGTAGTGGTATTAGTACTAGTACTATATTAGATCCCTTCCCTTACAATTATTAATAACGGTGACCGGATCAGATCCATGCCCACCCCTCCTCATCAACTAGAGAGAGTCGTGCAAAATCTTAAACCCGGATCTAACTTCAAACTCATGAATCACACTGAAACCCAAATCCAAATGGAACTTCAATTCTTTATTGTTCTTTTTTAAGTGGCATATACACGATTCTGATACGCCGCCAATGCACAGAAAAAAAAAAAAAAAAAAAGAAGAAAAAGAATTGAGAGACAAATGTGGGCTCAGCATTAGGCAGGTGGCCCTTGCTTGCTACTTCCTCTGCTAGCTGTAATATGATATGAATCACATGACGCCTATTTACAGTAACGAAATGTCCTAACCCCGCACTCCAATCAAAGGTTTATAATACTTATAATAAGGGCAGAATGAATAGGGCAATCTTGTCTTTTTCACACATTCCCTATACGATATAAGACATAAGATATTATAAGCCAAGCCTATTAAGTTATTAACAAATATTAATTTCATTTTGGGGGTGATAATGTTTGCACTTAGCAGAGAGCCTGAGTAGCGAGGAAAGAAAAAGAGAGTGGTGGAGTGGAGTGGAGTGGAGTGTGTACCAGGAGATGAGAAATGGCTCGTCCAAGCTGTTGAAGACATTGATGATGAGATTGTCATTAGTAACAGAGTGAATATCTGGGCCTGGGAATTGACCATTGATGAGTATCCCCTGAAGAAAAACAAGAACAAGGAACAACAGATCGGATCCATTTTAACCAGATCAGACTCAGAAATCAAATAGATCGTGTACGCATACATAGTGTAGTACATCTCCTAATTTTTTTTTATAAAAATAAATAGAATTAAAATGTGCGAGGAAATCATCATTAAAAATAATTATAGATTTGAACAAACCTTTTGGCGCACACCAAGTGGGTAGATGTCGCCATAAGTAACATTCCATTCAAAGAACTTATACGGATCTTCAGCAGCGACAATGGAAAACAGAGCAGTGAGACATAGCAGTGCGGAAACCGCAGCTCCCGCAAAGTTGAGAGACATTTTATGTGCGAGGGAGGGAGGGAGCCTTACTTACTAAGGCTTTAAGCCAATGACTCTGTCTGTCTCTATGAGAGAGAGAGAGAGAGAGAGAGAGAGAGAGAGAGAGAGAGAGAGAGAGAGAGAGTATAAATACTAGTGTAGTGTTTGGCTCTTTGGTGTGTTGTATTGGATTGGAATGGTTGGACTTCGGAGAAAGCTACATAATAGCAGGGAGCGTGTTTGAGAGTTTAAAACAAGGGAGGGGAAGGAAGGAGAAGGGAAGAAGAGTGAACGATGATGATGACATTCAGCATGGGGCGTATTTAAGTGCGGTACAGAAAGAAAGGAAGGGTGAGATGTAGCCTCGCCGCGAAGAAAACAAAAGAGAGGGAAAGTTAATAAATAAATAAATATTTTTTAATTGGAAATAAAAAGAAAATTGCGGTGTCGGTGGTTTTTTGTTACATTACTATTTATAATTGATTATTATTATTATATATGGTGTATGAATTGAATAAAGGCATACCAAGTTTGAGTTTGATTGAATTGTGTGGGTGTGTCTGCCACATGGGGTTGGGTTGGTTTTTGTATTTGCGACTCTGTGACGAATGTGTTGTGCTGTGTGTGAGAGCGAAGGGTGGAGGTTTCGTTTTGGCGCCATCCTCCTCCTGAGATGAGAGTTTAACAGCAGAGTAGTAGGGCCCTGATTATTGTCATTAATCAGTCATTATTCGTCAACTCAACCATTTCCTCTCCAACTTCCGCTTCCAACGAGGAGGGCCTCTTTTTATTTGAATTGCATTGCGAAGTTATTAGCTTAAATAGATTAAATTACATGACTCTGTATATAATAGTCAATGGAGTCATGAATCCCACACGCTAGACCCTACCCACCTCCACTTCCAATTTATACATAGGCAGCCGCCGACAGGCTTTATTTTTCTTACTTCCTTCAATGAATTAAGCAGCTCTCATAAACAAAACCAGTTTCAATTCAAAATTCGAGTAGTGATAAATAATAAACAAAAGTGAATATCCACCCAAAAATTCACTTTGTTTCTCTCTCTAGTTATTGACATGAAACTTTCTTGTCTCCGATCCGATGGCATATGGAATTAAAAGAATGAAATAGAAAAGTATCGCAAGTTAACTGAATTGGGACTCGGTTGTTTGCAACATTCATTCACGTGACAGACTTGAATGACACTCACTCGATTGGGTATTGGCGTTTATGTCAACGCTTTTACATATCCACACACACAGCAGAACGAGAATTGTGCTCAAAGCTATCTTGTTAGATTATGACACCTCATTTTTTAATTTTCATGTGCGACTAATCTCACTTTTTTATTTTTAGTACTGAATTGACTTATTCGATGTCTACACTACACTACAGGCTACAGCATTCTGAGACTCCTATGGCCTATCCTATTACAGATGCGTGCATAGTATACAATCCCAACAATCAGACCAGGTTTCTAACTTCTAAGGAAGCCAGGAAAATTGGAAGGAGATTTTCTCACTTAAAATTAAAAACCCCCAAATTTAGGAAAAGGAAAAAAGCAACATGCTTACGCGGTTTCTAATTGAAATTCAAATGCAGTTCAAAAGTATACAAATTGATGATGATGCTCCCCTGGCTGGGTAGTAGGTCCCTTCAACCGTGATTAGTGGGCATGTTGAACTCAAACCATACACCACGTAGCCATCAAATCTATGTCCTCCCCCTAAGGGTAACACAGCTGTAGACTCTAGTGTATGACGATAACATCATTGACATGAAAAAGATTTAAGACGTATGCGGGACTCATAATCATGAAAAAGCAACACATGCACGCATTCCTCTCAAATCTCAATCAACGTCCTAACGCTACAGACTTGCAGTGCAATTAAGTTGAGCAAAGCAATCATATGAATTCCAAAAGCTATAACAATGATTGATTCTTCACTCCTCGTTCATATTCATTTTAGCTCAAGTTTTAAAAATTCAAATTTGATCACACTTCTTTTTGACTCTTTCGGTAAACTGAGATGCCTTGCAAGTTGCAACCCAATAACCTATATCATCATCATCATCATCATCATCAAGAATCAAGATAAGCATCATGTGTAACAGCAGGGAATCCTCACAACACGACACTCTGCAACCCAAGTAAAATAATACACTTTCCAAATTCTAACATTCTAATCTTTTATATGAGAAGGGAGCCTAACCCCAACCAATCGCTTCAATGTATTTATTCTATTGAAGGCTCATATCTAAACAGAGAATCCTCATCGCCCAGAGTAGTTGAGACGCAAGACAAAGCAATTTGCAGCCACATAGAAAACGACATCTATAGTTATTAACAAAAGAAGAAGAAAAAAACCCTCAATGGTCCAATACACAGGCTAACAAGAGATTAGCGCGGATTGAACGTACAACACAAATAAGTTTAACAATTCAACTCAAGCTGTAGTTTTCACAAGTAACAAAAGAATTGTCCTACATGGTTGGACCATCCTTTAGATGTAGGACGCACACATATTTATGGAAGAATGCCCTACAAACCATAGTAGAACACACATTTTGAATATATGAGCAAATGAAGAAAGAAAAAAAAAAGGGATAAAGACGCTTATGCAGAGTCAAATCTACTTTTACTCTTCCGAATGAGTGATAACTTTCACATTTGTGAAGGGATTCTTAATTGCTTAATGCAACATCCGCTGGCTACTTGAGGATCGCTAGGAAACATGAAACTGAAACAGACTTCGTTTGCTTGTTTCGTCTGTCCAAGAGGTTTCATAACCAAAATGCAAGACCCTTAACTTTACTTGGAAATTGTTCAAAATCAAAGCCAAACAACATTTTTCCATGGAAGGTATCTTCAAAAAGAAA